GGGCTTTAAAACCCATCAAACCCAATGGGCTATAGAGTGAGAACTTAGTAAGTGGAGCCACCTTTATTTTTTTAATTTTATTTTCCTTTAAATGCAAAATAGTAATTGTACATTTTATAGGAAAATGTGATCTTTTCATATATGTATACATAGTGGAATAATTAAATCCAGCCAGTTAACATATCCGTCACCTCACTTACTTAATTTTTGCAGTGAGGACATTTAAAATCTATTATTTTAGCAATTTTGAGATAAACAATACATTATTAACTAAGGTTACAATGCTGTGAAATTGAACACTAAAACTTATTTCTAGTGTATAACTGAAATTTTATACTATTTGACCAGCATTTCCCCTTTCCCCATTCACACTCCCAAACCCCAGCATCTGGTAACCACCATTCTACTCTCTACTTCTGTGTTCAAACTATTGGATACAGAGGAGAGAAAATTTAAGGGGAAAAAGAAATAAGAGGAGACTTTAGGTTTATTTCTTCCTGGAGCACCAAGATATTAAAGATGAAAGAACTTTAGGGGAATAAAGGTGGCATTTTTCTGGAAGTAAATTGTATATTTGCTTGAAGGTGGCCTGACCTCTCTTCCTCTAGTGAACTGTGTTTGTCCTTCAAGTTGCAAGTGAGATGTCTTTTTCTCCAGGAAACATAGAACCATCTGTGCTTCAAACCCCCACCTATCTGTCAAAGCTAATCATTTGTCCATGGGGAAAAAAAAAAAAAAAATCTGCCTCGTTCTGAGTTCTGTGTTAAACCCCAAAGATACAGCATCCAGTGCATTCTCAGTAGCAGGACATATAATTATTCTTCCTCATTTCAGTATGCTGGCTGATAGGAGCAAGGACTTTAATGGGACTGTAAATATTGTAGGGGCTCTGACTTTGGGGTTAACTTGGTCAGGGAAGTACAGGTGGTAAGAAGATTTCAGTCGGACTTTGTCTTCTTAAGGTAGCAAAAAACCCTATGTCTAAAAGTAGTAAAAGGAGTGAGACTTTGGAGGGTAGAAATGGAGATGAGGCCTAGCTGATGCCATGGTTCACGTATAAAAGATGTTCAGTTGTAATGGCACTTAGAATTCAGGGATGATCTATATTAGTAAAGTTGAAAATACTAGATTGATTGAGACTTCAGATGAAATGTTTTATTTCAAATAAAACTCCATTTCTGGCTTATGATTTTATAGATATTTGTGGAAGCTTAAATGCAAATGTTAAACCTTGCCAAGAACAGTTTATGTTGATTAACTCGTGGAACACCTCACATTCTCATAGTTAGCTAGGATTGTTAAGCATCTGTGAAAATTGATAGCATGTGTACCATCCTTGATTATACTGACTTCTCCTTTTAAATTAAAAACATGTAGAGAAAAACATAAAAGTGCTATTTTATGCCATGTAATTGTCTCTCTTCCTGAAACTTCTCCAATCGCTTTATCCCACACTGCTCTCAGATTGATGTTCCAAATGAGTTGCTGTTATATGTTCATTACTAGCTACTCACAGTGTTCTATAATATAGCCCATTTTAACTATCAAATCTTATCTCCCACTAAAGCTAGATAAGAAGTCTGTGCTTTCTTAGAGTGGATTTCTTTCTGTTCCATGAATAGTACATACCATTTTACTTTCTTACCCTGGGGCTTAGCTGGTACGGAACTCTTACCATTGTCCTCTTCCCACAAATCCTTCTTGTTATTTAGGGCTGTAATCAAGTTTCACAAAACCTACCCATTATTCTTGCCCATAACATGTGTTTCCTTCTTTATCTCTGTACCATACATATTGGCATTTAATTATCTAACATTTGTAGTGACTTTTAATCGTTTATAATGTGAACTGTTTTCTCATTTCTATTAGAATTTTCTTGCTATATAAAGTATCCTTTTCTATGTCAGACACAAAATTATACCTAAACACTTAATTTTAATGCTCCAGTTTGACTAATTAAGATAGATTTTGAGGTGTGTTAGTGTTGCTCTGGAACTTCTAAGATCTTTATATACTGCTAATCTCATAAATGGCATGACAACCCAAGAGGCATACTCTACCTAATTTTAGCACAAATATTACACAAAAGATTATGGGTTTCATGCATTTAAAAAAGCACCCAAAAGTGAAGAAATATTCTCCCCATGAGAGCATAATGAGTTATTGTGTAATGCCCTAAAATGTTTATTCGTTGAGTTCAAATGCATTTTTGGTTATTGTAGCTCTCTTATTTGAATAAGTGAGAGAAGTTGTCCATGAGGCATAGATAATTCCAAAGATGTTAATAAATAAGTCTGATAATCAAGGAGCTTTAAAATTAGTACAATTGCCTTTCTGGACCTTCTGCCTCCCATACTTCTAATGTATTAGAACATAAAACAGGGTTCCATGGTTGTGTTCTCAGTTGGACTATCGTTCAGTTTAAACCTAGAAACTTTAGGGAAGGATTGCAGGGTAATTGACAGAGTTGTAAAAAATGAACTCTTACATGGCCAGTTGGGGTCAGGAGAGGGGACTTTTTGTTCAGAAAACTAAAGAGCTGAGCTTCAGAATTATTATTATAATCTGGGCATTTTATATTCAAAATGACTACCTCCCCTCCCAATGATTGCCTACTATCTTCATACCTCACATTTGCTTTACATCTCATAATTTAGCTACTCATATGCTTTAAGAGAGAGTTGAATCAGGTGAAACTGGACAAATGCCCAGGTTTGATTTCAGTAATTCATTGACAAAGGGAAGCAGGAGTGTTTTGTGCATATATCCTCTGTGTGTGCACACATGCATGCATACAAATACAAATAGGAATAAAAACTATGCTGATTCCTTTTACTTTATCTGTAATATCTGACAGATTTCTATAATTTTAAAGGAGGGAGTCATTTAGCTATGTTTGTGATTGGGGGTAGTTTTCCTCCAAGTTCAAGCTGAAGTGGTAAATTTTAATTCAATATCACTTTTGATCTTTATAATGCTGACAGCTGTCTAACAAAAGCAGCAGCTCCTTGACATTGTAATTCTTCAAATAGTAATCGTTTGCCTCTTTTTGATATATCGGACATTTGATGGTCTTTATAGACGCTCCCACTCACTCTCTAATCTCATATTCTATTTTAAATTATTTTTAGAACACCATCTACATCGACACCTATCCCTAAGTAAGAGGGCACAAAGCTAGTGTTTGCTGGGTGAGAGAGGCCTTTATAACCAAATACATAGGGGTTCAGTTATATATAAATAGCAGTATATGTGAATGGCATACGTTGGGAAGAACAAAAACAGCTGTATCTGGCAAAAAGGTTAGGTGACTTGTAAGGAATGGGAAGACACTCAGACTAGGATTGTAATTATAGATGACAGTGTTATGAGTATGTCTGGTGGTGGGAGCAGCTGTAATCCCTCACCCCTACTCCATGATTAGGGAATTTAAGGAAGTCAGAGACCATAGGATTTGCTTGAGGCTGATCCAATTGCTACAGCCATATTCCCAGGATGAACATAAACTGTATTTTCTCCAAAGAGAGTGCAAAGGAAAATAACGTAATGTGGATCCTCCCAACCCTAGGAGAAAAGTATTTACTGAGAAAGAATTGATATACAGTGAAACTACCATCCAGCAATGATGGAATTCTTAGCCTTGACCCAGTTCCTTTTCTTAAGGCTAAGGTTCCTGTGCTTTTGGAGGAGGGAGGTGGTTGTGAAGAGGAGGATGTGAAAGAGTTGTCAAGGGGTAGCAGTGAAATGACAAGCAATCCTATCCCAGTAAACTTGAAGGTACATGGTGGGCCTCACTCCCAATATTTTTCTGTCTCAGTTTCTTCTGATGGGTCAATTAAGTGGGCTTTCAAATAACCAGAAGATTCCTATAATTGCTTTCACTTCCTTAGAAGTCCTAACCATCCATGAGACCCAAAATCAAATTATGCCCATTGATGTTAAGCCGGTGCAAATAATTGCTACCAGGTGAGATAAACCCACAGGCAGCATTAGGCACCAGAACACCTGAAAGTAGGGCAGCTACTAGCACATGCTTTCTTTGATTGTTAGATTGACTTTTAAATAGTGCAAGCCTGAATATCATATGTCTGCCTATTGAGGACTTGCTTTGTGTGTTATGGCAGGGGTTATAGTATGCCACCAGAGCAGGCCTGCTTAGCAAACAAAAATCTTAGAGATCTTTGTCCTTTACAACACAGAAAGAGCTTGTAGTACTGTCAGAACTCTCAAGATTTCCATAAACAAGGACAGTGTGGACATGATAGTGAGAAGAATCATCTGTGGATTTACCAACATGGTTCCAAAGTAGAAGACCTAGTCATTGGGTGACCAGCTAGAATACTGTGAGATACAATACATTTCAAAAGACAGGCAAGGAGTGGGAGTGTCGCTGCCACTTCATAGGAAAACCTGAGAGGTTTTATTATCAACCAGAATTTGAGTGAGCTCCAGCGTTTCACCAGAAGTGAACCAAGAGAAGGTAAGAGCACAGATTAAATAAACTGTATGGCAGGGCTATAACTGGCCTTGGTTTTTCACTACACTGTGATGGGCACTTGGATATACAAAGAGACTTGATATTTTGGGGGGCCAGAGAAGATATATACCCCTTCATTTTTGTTTGCTTTTTAGTGTAGGTGGCTCTAGAATAAACTTTTGACGATAACAGATGCTCGGAAAATATTTTCCAGTTCTTGGTGCACCCATTTTTCCTGCTTCCCAGTGTAACCCTTCCTCCTGGAAGCAGGCTCACTAAGCAAACATAGCTAGGAAAAGGCAATCCAGTGTGAATCAATATAACAATTGAGGACGGGAATATCAGCCTGCTTAAACAGATGAACTGAAATAAGAACTGTGTTCATATCTGCTTGAAAATAACAAAACTAGAGGAAGATTTGCAAACATCTTGCTAGTTCCTGTATTTTGATTTGCATTGACTCTACTATATGTTTCAATGGCTGCAGATGGCAGTTTGAAAATAAATACTCAGTCACAATTGACAAAGTCAAAATGTTTTTATTTATGCTGAAGTTTAGCAAGTACATTTTTAACAAAGAAGGTGTACTTTAACGTTATGTATAGTAGAACAGGGAAACCATACATATAAGTTTCTAGTCTCTAACACACTACTGCATTTTTTTTTAATTTAAAAGACAAAAAGCCAAGTTGAAATGAGCATAGAAAAGCATCAAATATGGTCAAGTTACATTAGCCATTAGGATTTAGCTCATATTTTTAAACTGGTCAATCTAATGCAAGGACAAAGTTTACATCATTGCTTTTAAAATGTACACGTGTTTCTTTCTTTTTTAATGTAACATAGATTAAATAGCTCCTTCAGTAAACAAAGCTTTGCTGATAAACAAAATTGAAATAACTCCATGTTGAATAGTTTCAGAGATAAACTGGAATCACAAGCATCTTCATTTATGTAAAGCCGCGAGGACCTTTCAGGCTGAATAAAACTGTTGTGCCATGTCTAAACAGTAATAGTTACCTCCTTTAAAAAAAAGAAAACAAGTTAGTTCTTATGAAGAATAATTCTGATACGTGCTTAAAAATACTAAAACTTCTATCTTCAGGAACCTAAAATGATCTGATGTAACAGGCTCAATTTAGTGTTGGTAAAATTTAACATTTCTTAACATTTCTATATTTTCATCTGTCAGTTTTCAAAGATCCTTCAAATTTCATGCTATAGCTTCTGTTCTTCTTTCCACAGCACTGGAGACATTGAAGACTGATAAAGGCTCTTCATGAACCATATTATAATGTCTGTAATAATCTATATTACTTTTTCTTTTTGTATATAATGGTGCATCTGAAATACAATCCCTATAGTTTACCAAAACAGGGGGAAAAGAGTATCTGGTTATGATCTAAGATAATGACAGCTTTGTACATTTAGAATTTCCTCTCCCGGGTTGACCCTGAGACTGTGTATACTGCATGAAGGGAGACTAGTTCCGAATTATCATTTTAGCTACAGTGTTTAGTCAAACCGGTATCCCTCTAAATGATAGCAATTAAAAGAGCCCATGCCATCCTAGAGTTAGATAATATTTAATTCGGGTGGGTAAAAGTTATTATTGGAAATTTTTTTTTAAATTTTATTCTACCTCTTTTTGTCAAACCTTGTTATTTTCCACAGCAATGGCTTATAACCTGAGTTTCTATTTAGATGCGTTACAAAGATTGGCTTTTGGTTACAAACAAAGTCGGAAAAGAAATGTGGATGAATCAGTACAAATCCATTACTTGTGCTTGAGAAATACTTAAAGATAATGTTTCTGAGTCAAGTGCTTTATTTTAACATATAATGGAGAGGACATTATCATTGTTGGACTAATATGTCTAATCTAAAATATTAAGTCAATCTGGTCAAAGCTGATTAGGAGGAAAGTATACCCTTTTTAAACCTTGGGTTTAATATCTTTAAAATCTTTATTCTTTCTGTGTATAAGGTATCATGGCGAGTAGCAGAATTTTCTAGATAATACCTCAGAACCAAAAATAAAGATGTAGTAAGGTAACAGACGAATAAAAGATTGGGGTTTGGGTTAGTCAGACTCATGGAGGGTTGGACTTCATCAGAGGGCAACCAGACATTTTTCCCAAGAAGCCCATGGAATTCACTAAAAGTTTTCCAGGGACCAGAAGAAAACAGAGCTTGAATTTTTGGACACTGGTAATTGTTCCAACTCCTTTGTGGAGTCTGAGAATATTTATTCTGATGAATTGACCAAATATTTGCTTAGTCCTCCAGTCTACCTCATCCTATGTATACACAGCCTAAATATCAAAGAAAAGCTCTTCGACATAAAATGACAGTCATTTTACCAGGATTGAAATTTATACAATATAGCTAAAGCTTAAATCATGCAACACAAATTGTGAACATTACAAACTGGATAGCAATGGCACACACTATGTCCCCTTAAATAGGGTACATGAACTCAGCAATGAATAGCGAAAGACAATCACCATTTGTCCTTTAGAAAAATGCAGTTTCTGAAAAATTTCTACTTTTGTTATGTTTATTTCTTGCCTTTATTTAGAGACAGAAATATTTGCCCACATCCTTTATGTGTCTGCTTACAAGGCCTATTAGGAATAGTTCCCACAGCTGCTCAAAAATTGAAAGAAAAACTAGGCTAGCAAGAAGAAAACAATATTAAGTGAATCCACTTTTCTACCGGAATACAATAAATTGAGATTTCATGGTAGTGAAACTTTTTCTCCCAATTTTGAGGACAGTAGCAAAATAGACCCCTGTGTAGCATGCTGTATAATGTTGACACATATTTGGTTACTGTTTTACATGTGCCAATACTGAATGATCATAAGGAAGATGCCAGTAAGGAACTGCTAACTGACACCGATTCTTGGAGCAATCTCAAAGTTTGCCACATTTCAATTTCAAAATGCATTTCAGCTATAATATGAGTGATTTATCACTTAGTAGTAGCTGTCAAAGTAATTTCCTAGATAAACCAAAAACATCTGGAACCATAAACAGAGAGGAGTAGTAGCTGAATTTTAATCCAGACCCAGTGTGCTCACTTCATTAGGAACAGGAAACAGCTAATTAGTAATGGAATGTTTCATATTCTTAAAAGGGTTTGTTCTTGAGCTCCAAACAGAGATGATCTGATATGAACTCTGGATGTCAATAAGATTAAAGATTAGGAAGAGAAACTAACAAAGTCTCTCCAAGGGAATGTTTTGGAGCTTGGGAACTTAAAAAGAGGGACACACACTGATATTTGGGGGGAGCTGACAGAGTTTATTGCTTTGGGATTTATCAGATAGGTAAAAAGGGGAATTTGATACATACAAATGTGACCATTTTTAAAGTAAAAACAAAGGTCCATGCAGTCCTTCCCTTAGCACAGCACTGCCTGACGTTGGCATAGGCCATGGCACAGAAGGTCAGTGTGGGCACTCCATACAGGAGATGAACCTCTCCTAATCAATCGAGTTATCTTTACTGGGCCATAAATAGCTGCTCCAAACTCAAGTAAATGTGAGACTTGCCCTCTGTGGTATATATCCTAAACTTATGAGCCGGAATAGCTAAATCATGCATCATAAATGAGGCAGATATATGGGAAAAGGACAGAAAAAAATACACATGAGGAGTCCTCATAGTTCAAACAAGGTAAGTTAAACATATCTACTTATTTTAAAAAAGACACTAGTTTATTTTGAAGTGACTTAGTTCATTTGGAAATTCTATTTAATGATGAGACTTTCTCAGATGTTATATTTTTAGTCACCTGTCATTGTTATTTATTTCAGATATTTGATATTAATAAACGTTTTTATTTGACTTGCTTCAAATCCTTCTCTGTGACTTATTTCTAATTTGGCATTATTTCACTGAATTGGGCCAAAACAGTACACCTACTCGATATAAGCAGACTTTCTATAGCCCATGAAGAATGCCAGAATCCAAATGCTTATGCTTTAGAAAACCTTCCTTCAGAGCATGGAATTACTGAAATGTCACATTGATATGAATTAATGTAATATTTTTAAGTGTTTAGAGTGGGTGGCCATTCCAGCAGAAATTGCATATACTGCCATGGGGAACCTCTTATTAGAAAATGGATAAAAACTCAGTTGGCCTTTTGCATAAGATGCTTGGTGCTTCTGTCACACCAGAACTTAATGCTAGGGCAGACGTGAAAACAACACAACGGATTAGATTTTGTTTAATGTAAGGAGGGCACTTTAGGAGGGGCATTAAATCTTTTTGGTCATTAGAGTACCATATAACACATTGGAATGCTGTTCTATTAGATTTTTAGTAGGCATCAAAATGATGATAACAGGTATCTGCCCCCAGCCAATGGCCAGATCTCCTTTAAGTAAACAGTTAAAAACATCTGAGGCCATTTCCTGCACAATTCAAGCCAAATGACCCATATGATCCTAATCATTTGAACACATTAGGAATCTGGCTATGTCTAGACCAGAGAGTGAACAGTAGAAAATATCCATAATCTCACTGACCCATATGTCTTTCTCTTTTCTTTTGCCTGTAGATTTTTCATCCTGTTTGCTTATTAATAGCTTAATAAAGAGGAAGCAAGATTGGGGATGGGAAGAGAGAAGAAAACAGTAAAGGGGTATTTTTAGCAGCTTGGGTATCTGTTTTTATCATTGCATTCTTTACAAATCAGGAATGTGCTAGTAGAAAGGGGTTAAAGGACTTGCTCCACCATCAGCAGTTCAAAGGAAAAACTGGGTGTGGTAAAATCTAAAAACTAGAGCTCCTTATATTTTCTTAGAGAACACTACAGGCCAAGTGCTTCTTTTAGAAATGAGAGCTCCAAAGCAGTGATAACAAATATCGATCATTTGCACAAATGATTTACCACCTGATCTAATTCCTGTTAAATACCAGGTCAGACAAGAAGTTATTTCACAGTAATTGCAGCTTAAAGTAGGTGTGTCTGCATTTTAATTTGTCTCACACCATTTAGAAACAGCATTTTCTCTGTCTTAAAAATTCTTCCACCTACTTACCCCACTAGGATTCTGTGTGAATTAATGTGATAATGTCTTTGAAGCACTATGAGCTCCTTGAGAGAAAAAGGTTAAAGAAGTGTAAAGTGTGTTCAGTCATTATTATGACTATCCCCTAAAAACCTGTGAAGCCCACTCTCTAGGACACTTGTCCTGTGTGTGTAAGGTTCTATTTACCAGTAATGAACAAACAGTAATTAAAGGTTCCATATTTTAAGGATTTGAGTATGAATTCTAAAGAATTTACAACACTAGATAAGCAGGTAACTGCTACAGCACCCTATTCGTGCCTATGATCAGTTGGAGTTCCGGCATCAGTGTTCAGGCTGCACAGAAAAAACAATAAGACCTGGTCAAAATTTCATTCGAACAAAGAAAATTCAAAATCTACTCAATGCACTTCACTGAAAACCACAAACTCACTTTATAGTATTTCGCTGTGCTATGTATTTTCAAGATTTGAATAAATCTCTCTGAAATTAATGTATTATTTTATTAGGTTGATCTCTTAATCAAATATTCATTTATATGAGTCTCATTTTATCAAAAATGAAATTATACAAAGGTGAGCAAAAGCGTAGATTTACAGAAGCTTAAAGCTTAATCTTATTCTCTAGGGGTGATATTGACAATATAAGTATGGTGTAAATGATATTCCCTAACTCTAAAATATGCTTATGAGCCCCTTGTGCATGTTCTTCTTCTTTACAACCTGCAGCAAAATGCGTAACTAGCTTAATAAGCAAGGCATTTAGGAATTGTTTTTTCCTCCACCGTCTAAAACATGAGTAAAGGCCTATACTGTTTTTTTGTGAGTCGAAATCTTTGCTAATGACTGCAATGTTCCCTCAGTATGAGATTTCCTTCCCTGACAGGATGGTTATTTGAAAGTAATTGCTCACTTTTTATTTTTCAAGAAACTACCAAGAACTGTATCTATAATGTGTTTAGAGGATTATATTTACAATAAAATGCATTTGTGATTTTTCTTACCCAAGGTTCATGTTTGCTTCCAAATGTCTCCTCACTACTTGTTTACCTGTATAAATAATGGGACTGCAGTACAAACTAATAGAATTCACACAAGTATACTTTAGGCTATCAAACCTTTCTTTTGAGGTAGCTAAGCTATTCTTGAACTATTGACAATATTTTGTAATGAGTTCTCCAGCTAAGAAGTTAGTTCTATGTTTTCTTTATGTTGGTTAATCAGTGCTGTGCTTCTGATTTACAAATGGGCACTATATTATTTAGGAGCAAGTAAGATCATCTCTTGAAGGTCATGATTTCCTGACCTGAATAAGAGAGAGATAAAATAATGTGCTAGTTAATGCTCCACTTGTTTTCCACTTCAGTCTTAGATTCAATCCTAATTAAATGTAGAATTAATTGTAGAAACTCAACTTTAGTTGTGGAAATATGTTCAGAATATGATATTCTCAAATCAAAGAAGTGACAGTAGTGAGGTTAGTTTGGGGTCCGGTCAGTTATTTTTGGAGTACTATAAATATGAGTTACTAATTTGAAAGTAGGAAAAGCAGACAATTGCAAGCAAGGGGAAGATACAATATAGTATTTGATTACTCTTTGTCTAGAGAAGAGCACTATTTTGGAGTCATTTTTTCAGAAGGTTCTGTTGCTTATTTTTAGAACATGATATGTTTTTTAAAAACAGAGGTTTCTTGAAAAGAATAACCATTTGGGTTCATTAGCCTTACAAATATCTGACTTACAATTTAATCAAAATGAAGACCAGGATAGGTCAATAGGTCATCTTTTTTTTGTGCAAATGGTATCATAAAGGAATATCAAACTATCTTATGCACTTGTAATACACCCTGGTTTTGTGAAATAATTATTTAATACATCTCTTTCCCCTTTTTTGAATCTCCAGTTCTTAGAAAACATTCCCTTAAAATGGAAGCATGAATGCCCTTCTGCTCACACATAGGGATAAAATGCAAAGATATCATTAACTATAACTATCTATGGGAGAGCACATTCTTTAGCGGAAGCTTTACACATCACTTACAGGCCAAATAGTTCACTCTTACTGAAATCAATATTAGAAAACACAAAATCAAATTTGTGTGTATTTTATAGGGCACCATAATAATGATATCTTGTACTTGTCATACTTATCAGATAGTATGTATCTAACTTATTGATGAGGAAGAATAGGCAAATATTATGATACCTATTTTACTAAAGTTAAGGCAGAGAGAAGGTAAATGACTTCTCAAGGTTAGTAACTGAGTTAGTGAGTTAGTAACTGAGAAATTCTGACTACTAGATCAGTGCTCCTTCTGCCACTTCATTGTGCCTCTCACATACTGGTTATAAAACAGCAATAGAAGTGCATGTGTCCAGTACAGAGATCTCCAACGGTTGAGTCACATTAAGAGTTTTAGAAATACTGAAATTCTATTTTTCATCTTAGAAGAGAGAGGAAGGGAGAGGAGAATAAATGAAAGCTAACGTGTATGGAACACTATGTCAGGAGCCACTCCACACGTACATATGGCATATATGGAATGCCATCTTCCTTCATTATTTTCTTGTTGTGGATAATGCTACAGTGAAAAGTGCGAATCATGTGTCTATGCCATTTCTCTAAATAATCTGAGACCAAGTCCCCCACTTTCCATAAGCTTATAAGTTACAAAATGTTTTTTCTTCTTCTTTTTTCTTTCTTTTTCTGAGACAGAGTCTTGCTCTGTTGCCCAGGCTGGAGTGCAGTGGCAGGATCTCAGCTCACTGCCACCTCTGCCTCCTGGGTTCAAGTGATTCTCCTGCCTCAGCCTCCCAGGTAGCTGGGACTACAGGTGTGTACCATCACACCTGGCCATGTTTTGTATTTTTAGTAGAGATGGGGTTCCTCCATGTTAGCCAGGCTGGTCTCTAACTCCGGACCTCAGGCAATCTGCTTGCCTTGGTCTCCCAAAGTGCTGGAATTACAGACGTGAGCCACCACGCCTGGCCACAAAACATTTCTTAAGGTTCTAATTGATTTGAGTTTTGTACAGGATGCAGATTGGAAATATTTTAGTTAATATTTTAAAGTATAGTTAAGTTCTATTTTTAAATGACTTTTAACTACTACTTTTGTCTGCAAAACTTATAGAAGAACACTATAATACTCGATTTTAAACAAATCAAAATATGGAGGAAAGTGAAAAATGAAAGTAATGGATAAACAAATGTTAACTTATACAATGTTAAAAATGATGACATCCAACATTTCCCATAGAAGGTTGAAATGCGGTTACCAGGAGATTGTAAGATTTGAGGGTTTATTAGTCCTACTGAGGGTTTTTCCTCACACGTTATTAAATGGTTGCTCACAGATGCTGAGATCAACATTACCTTTATTCATTTTTATTATTTTAATGAAAACTAGAGCACTTAGACATTTGTGAAATGTAGCAGGAAGTCAGGGATCCCGAATGGAGGGACCGGCTGGAGCCGCAGCAGAAGAACATACATTGTGAAGATTTCATGGACATTTACCAGTTCCCAAATACTTTCATAATTTCTTATGCCTGTCTTACTTTAATCTCTTAATCCTTTTATCTTCATAAGCTGAGGATGTACATCACCTCAGGACCACTGTGATAATTGTGTTAACTGTATAAATTGATTGTAAAACATGTGTGTTTGAAAAGCATGAAATCAGTGCACCTTGGAAAAGAATAGAATAACAGCAGTTTTCAGGGAACAAGGGAAGACAACCATAAGGTCTGACTGCCTGCAGGTTCGGGCAAAATAAAGCCATATTTTTCTTCTTGCAGAGAGCCTATAAATGGACATGCAAGTTCGGAATATATCGCTACATTCTTTTCCTAGCAAGGAATATTAATAACTAATACCCTGGAAAAGGAATGCATTCCTGTGGGGAGGTCTATAAATGGCCGCTATGGGAGTGTCTGTCTTATGCGGTTGAGATAAGGACTGAAATATGCCCTGGTCTCCTGCAGTACCCTCAGGCTTACTACACCCTGGTAAATCTGAGGTCAGACCAGTTCTCTGCTCTCGAGCCCTGTTTTCTGTTGTTTAAGGTGTTTATCAAGACAATACGTGCACTGCTGAACATAGACGCTTATCAGTAATTCTGCTTTTGCCCTTTGCCTTGTGATCTTTGGTTTTGCCCTTTGCCTAGTGATCTTTGTTGGACCCTTATCAGGAGTTTCTGATTTTACCCTTGTCCTGTTTCCTCAGAAGCATGTGATCTTTGTTCTCCTTTTTGCCCTTTGAAACATGTGATCTTGTGACCTACCCTCTGTTCTTGCACCCCCTCCCCTTTTGAAATCCTTAATAAAACTTTCTGGCTTTAAGGCTCAGGTGGGCATCATGGTCCTACCAATATGTGATGTCACCACTGGCAACCCAGCTATAAAATTCCTCTTTATACTCTTTCTCCTTATTTCTCAGCTGGTCGACACTTATGGAAAATAGAAAGAACCTACTTTGAAATACTGGGGGCAGGTTCCCCCAATAGTGAAAAAACAGGAAGATAGGAAAGAAATGTTTGTAAAATAATGATGCTTTCTTGAATGCTAATAAAGTAATTGTTGGAAATGCTGCTCCAAAAATCATTTGCATTACTGACAAAAAGTAGATTCCAGTTGAAGTATGTGGATTATTACCAATGTTAATTTTCAAATATTAAAAAAGTAAAATGTAAACTTGAAAGGGTCAAGAGGTTAGGGGCCTTAAAGGAGTTGTGTATAAAATCCAAAAGAATGTTTTTCTTTATATTCATTTTAATTCCCAAAAGGTAATGTTACATGTCTATTATAAATGAAAAGTAAGTTCCCTAGAGTAAATAAATGAAACTTTATGCTAATGCTACATACGGAATTCCAGTCTAAAATTAGTTAAGTGGTTGAGAGTGGTGGCTCATGCCTGTAATCCCAGCATTTTGAGAGGACAAGGTGGGTGGATCACCTGAGGTCAGGAGCCTGAGACCAGCCTGAACAACATGGTGAAAATTCAAAGTTAGCCAAGTGTGGTGGCCCACGCCTGTAATCCCAGCTACTTGGGAGGCTGAGGCAGTAGAATTGCTTGAACTCGAGAGGCAGAGGTTGCAGTGAGCCAAGATCGTGCCACTGCACTCCAGCCTGGGTAACAAGCATGAAACTTCATCTCAACAAACATAAAATAAAATAAAATAAAATAAAATAAAATAAAATAAAATAAAAATGTAAAATTAGACAGCAAGGCTCTGTTGAAATCTAGTTCTGACAGACAGAGTGAAGTGAGTGTAGTCAAGAATAAAAAAGGTTATTTCTGTTACTATTTCAGCTGCTCCACACAGTTTTAAATA